GAGGGGTATAAATGTCAATTCAGGTTGGGAGGTGGCGATGTAGCTTGGACAGTACAGAGAATCAGAGATGGTTAGTGGTACTGTCCTGTCCTTTTTGGGAAGTTTTGGCCAATCATTTTCTTGTTATTGCATAATTTCCAATAGTTAACATTTTTTTTTTTAAACAATTATGTGACTTTTTTTTTATTTATGTTTTAGGTCGGTTTAACAATACATTATTTTTTCTATGAATATATAATATTTTAAATTAAAAAACAATATAAATAAATGTATATCTGGTCAACTCGGTTAACTATCAATATTTAAGCACAATTTTTTTTTTATGTTTATTTAAATTAAAATAAAAATTTTAATATTACTATATTTATAATCATACTATAAAATTTCGTATTTTTTTAAATTTTTAATTATACCGTTGTTTTAAATTTTAATGTTGCGTCTATATGACATCAATCATACACAATTTGTCGCACAAATTCTATTGTGGGGTTGTTAGAGAATTAAATCATCATACTTTTTAAAATTATGCTAAGCTTTTTTTTTTTTGTTTTTTTAGCCACGGTATTTAGAGCGTTGCCCCGACTAATCCGTTGGTCGATCCAGGTCGCACACCTGGCAATGGTAGGTGAGTCTCCAACAAGGATTTTCTGCATTCACAATGACTCAAACTCACAACCTTGCTTAAGAGACATCAAGCTGCTTACCACTTGAGTCAACCCCAATTTTTTATTAATTAACATTGTTTGTTAGGGTATACATATATATTGATAAAAATATAAATATATAACAATTAGGTAGGGAAAAAAAAGGTATATCATAGTGCTGCACGTGTCAACAACTTAATTTATTTACTCTAGTTTGAGTGATTAAGAAATAAAAATAAAAATAATTATATTATTAATGTCGAATGGCATTGTGTTCTGTAGAATAATACTGTTATTATCATGTGATTAGGGAGGAGGCGCCTCGTCATGACTAAGAGGTCCTCTACAAAAGTCTTTAATTGTTAATCATTTTTTTAGTATTTATATACGGCTCGTCGAGCTTACGAGCCTCTCAAGAATGATGCTCAATACTTGGCACATTTGTTCGATTGAACTGCTCGAGCCCGAGTCGAGCATTGACTCGAGCGGACTTGAGCCGCTCGACTCATTTTCGGCCCGAGAATATATATTCCTACTTACTATATAGATACAACAAACATCACAATTTCTAAAATCACAATCACAATCATCAGTTAGGTTGATTCGTCATATATGCAAAGCGCGCAAGCCACCCAACATTTTGATTTAGTTCATCTTGTCAAGGCTCGCGTTTAGTTCGACTCATTTGATAAACGAGCCGAGCTCAAACTCTTTTAGTTAGCAATTAAGTTGAGTTAAGCTCATTAAAGCTCAAAAATATATAATTTTACGTAATTTTTATATAGTTCAACTCGTTTATTGCTCAACTCGGCTTATTATTCTTTAGAAATGAGCTGATCTCGAGCTCAAATATCAGCATGGTTCAACTCACTAGCACCTCTCTAAACTACTCAATGAACAAAAATGTATAATTTTCATAATTTAATATTGTGCGATACTTTTATTATTATAACGTATGAATTTAGTGGATTCACGTGTGACCTGCAATATATTCTCTAAATTTATCTGGGAAATATTACCAGGTATATATATATAATACTACTCTAATGAATTAATATTTCCTAATTAGGAAAGCAGAAAATGGACAATAAAATAAATAATAAAAGAATAGCCTTTGCCGATGCCTGTAAAATGTAGAGTATTCGTTGGAAATCAAAGTAAATACTTTCCACAAGTGGAAAGATTCTTGGCTTTACGACATTTCCAAAAAAGTGCTGTGTGATTGAGTCGGTGAACTCATGTGGCTCTTGTACAGGTTGTATCCAATATATGAATATATATATTATATTAAAGTTGGATGTGATCAAATAAGATTGAGTAATAAGTCAATGGCTCAAGCTTAATTTGGTCAAACATACTATGACAATCTTGTAACTATGATGATTTTTTTATTTAGGAGTTTTTTCAATACAAGACCTAAAAGATGTATAAACTATCAATTCGGGGTTCGAAAGATTTTTTTTTCTCAATTCGTGACCTAAATGTTATAAAACTATCAAATTAAGGCTTAATTTGACAGTTTTATAACATTTAGGTCACGAATTGAGAAAAAAATCTTTCAAGCCCCAAATTGATAGTTTATACATCATTGTATTGATTGGGTAAAATATAATGGGATGTTATTATATTATATATTTCTAAAAGTATTAATGTGTGTCTCGCCTAAAAATATTGTGCATTTTGTAGTGTGATGACAGTTTGGAAATTCATGAACTTTTATATGTGTAAGCGGTGATAATTATGTAATTTCTAAAAAATATGACGGTATTTTTAATGCGCGTATTCACACATTATATTGTGTATTTCACCTAATATTATTGTGAAGTTAACATTTTTTTTCTTCTAAATTATAGATTTGCCCCAAAGACTAAGTTGCAATATGTTAAAATTTTTAAAATTACAAATAAGTCTCTAGGACTTATCCTATCCCAATTCCCGATTCTTCATCCATCCTTCTCGATTCCCGATCCGGTTTTTGATTGGATGATTTGTCAAACAAAATGAGGTATGATTTGTAAAAATTTTGAAAATTGATAACTCTATAATCGATCTACGAAAATAGTAGGAGCGCATATGTATAGAAAAAAAAAAATCAATTCAAGTTTTCTGATAATCAAGATATCTGATTTTCTATTGGGAGGTGTCATTTGAAAGCTCGTAGGACCAATTTTCTAAAGCGTAAATCTTATGAATCCACCGGTCATATTTTGATCAGTATTTAAAAAAGTGTTGATCAATAGTTAGCTTCTTTTATGCTACTAACCAAAATCCGACCATTTGGATTTTCATAAGATTTACTTCGATAGGAACTCGTCCTCCAAGCATTCAAATGACACCTCCCAATCAAAAATCGGATATCTTGATTAAATTGAAATTTTTTCTATACACACGTGCTCTAACTATCTTCGTGGATCGATTATAGAGGTATCAATTTTCAAAAATCGACAAACCATACCTTATTTTGTTCGTCTCAACATGTGCTCTAAAAGCCCTAAATCAGTTAGATAAATTTAAAATTTATCATTAATTGAGTTAAAAACTCTTCTTTCCATATTAGGGTTTTTAATCGAGAAGGCGAATTGTCAGTTTCGATTACATTGAAGGCAAATTGTCAAAAAAAAAAAAAAAAAAGTTCAAGACAATCTCTAAAAAGTGACAAACTTTGAGAGATTAAATTTTTTTCTCTTAATTCAAAACATGTTGAGCTTAATTGGCAGATTTTCACGCTTCAGATGCTGATATGACAAAAATTTATGCTTCATAATGTTGTTTATATATTCATTTTTGCTTTGGAGTTAAACTTGGTATTAGACATAAATAACTTTTTTCAAACTCGGTAAATGTATATTTAATTTTGTTATTCTCTTTTTCTTAGTAAACATTTATTTCTTAGTTTGGCAAGTAGAAATCATACCATTTTATAAATTTCTCAAATATTTCTCTCTTAAATTACGATTTACAAATTACTTTCTGTCTAATCATCTTTTTTTTCATCAATTAGCTCATCAAAATTTGTTATAAAAAAAATATTAACAATAACTTTTGTCATACATTAATTTTTATCATATATTTATTAACTCAACACCTGTGTAGTAGACAAATATTATACTAGTTTATATTACTAATTAGACAAACCTTCAATGAAGAGTACTAAATGTTGTCCTTTATAAGTAACTTACTAAAATAACTCAACCACGTGAATTATTGCAATAAAACTTTGAATCCATTTAACAATAAAGTCGATTAGAGCATTGTAGAGAAAAATAAAATAATTTGACCTTATACATTAT